ATCAATCCGTTACATAACCGTTACATTCCGTTAATGACCGTTGCTCCACTTGGTGCATTTTAAATTAATGGATACAATTACAATTTAAATTATGAAAAATTCAAATAATATGCGATGCACGATACTTTAGAGAAATGACTATTGACCGTGAATATCGCAACGATTTATAATTCCTTCTATATCGCTTCGATTCCCGCCTCAAGTAATGCCGTAAGTAACTGGCATAAAATATGTATCGATAAATAGCCTTTGATAAATAGGAACGCTTATGAGTCGTTAATCGCAGGAATTAATCAATAATAATAGCTGTTCGTAAAAGATTATCGCGATTGGTATTCTTTAGTATTTGTCGCGATACAGGTAATGCGAGGGTACGCGAAGCGGCTCACTCCGCTGCTTGCCGGCTCGAGAATCTTCCTGCGCGAATCATAGTGCGGCGACTTTCCGTAAACAATAGAATATAACAACAAACGTCGTAGCTGTTAACCGACTTTATTTTAATTTTTAAATATTTAATACGACATAAACTAAAAATCAGTGCCAAGTATTCTGCGCTTTGCGAATTTTAAAATATTAAAGCTATATATTTAAAAGGCGTATCTCACGGCTGCTCGTTACAATCGTTACACAATTAATTCGGCAATTCGCGCTTATCTTGCATTCTCGATCCAAAAATAGACAAATTCTAAATCGATCAAAAAGAAGTATATAAGGAAACATTGCTGAATACATACTAATCGCCTCTCATCGTATCTCATCAATATATTTATTATTATTTAATATAATCAACATTTAATGACAAAAATGTTTTATTTTTAATGGATTATTTCATATTTTTGTCATTAAATGCCGATTATATTAAATAAGAATATAAAATATTTATGAAATACAATTTAAACAGTACGCATTTAGCAAGCTCTCCCCTATATAAATATAAATAGAGCAGGATATGAGATATATTCAAGTCGCCTTTAACGAAATGGCTACCACTCGTAATACCATGTAGCAATAATTTATAATGTTGTCTAGCTTAGATTTCTATTTCAAATATATATATTACACGAGATATATCCGATATATTACAATAAACATTTGTTATCTCTCGATCTTACTTTCGATCGTGGAGAATAAATTAATCACGCAGACTGCAGGTGATTATTAGACGTTCATCATTATCATTCGAAGTGAATAATCGCATTTTGTAGGGTAATACAACGATACACGGAACGGCTTTATAACCCGCTGGCTCGAGTCTGGCTGTAATACGCGAATGATAGCGCGGCGACCTTACGTAAACAATAGTGTGCTATACACTGTAATAATAAACATCAAGGCCGTACGTCAAATACGACTTGTTTTGCCCCGAGCACAATATAAACTAAACATACGCCGAATATTCTGTTCCGCGAATTTTGAAGTAGTTATTAAAAAGCGATCGATGCGTATGTGTAACATAATATGTTTTCTCGTTACTCGATTTCATATTCCGTGAGGCAGGAATCAAAGCGGTAGAAATTACAAATCGTTACAATATTTACAGGCAGTATTATTTTATTTTACATCGCATATTCTTTAAAAAAAAAATCTTTCACAATTTAAATTATAATTTATAATATTTTTTCATTATTTTCGAATTCAATAACTGGAATAATTTTGGTCGTTAACGAAATATCACGGTGACGAATTGATTCTGAATTGAGCAGCGTTACGACACTTTATCAATAAAATAATTACAATTTTTTAATATATTCGTGTCAATCTCGCAACATAAATGCAGTGATGTTTTATATCGGTGATTCGTTAAAACTTGTTGGTATTTATATTTTAAATTTATCCGTTACATTAACTTTTCTCACACACAGTTCTTCTCTCGCAATGTGACAAGATTCATGTTACGAGATTAGACTCGGAAGTGTACAAAATGTCGCGCGACCGTCACATCCTGATAATTAGTGCGCGCGCCATTGTAATTAGCAGTGTTTTTGCAAGTGAGTATTGTGTAAATACAACGAAACAATCTGAGAGAAAAAGGAGGCCTGGGAGTCATAGGGCAACTGCGGAGCAACCATGGAGTAATTTATTATACCACCTCAGCATTTTTATATCAAAAGTTTCAATTTTTATTCAAATAAATAATATAATATTAAACTTCTGTACAGTGAAACATTCTATTGGATTGAACAAAAAGTTTGTTCCGTTTTTTTTTGTACTTAGAGTAGACTAATGCCATCTCTTAGCAAAAAACGAAACCTTCCGTTCAACCAGATATAAAATATATAAATGACTATTACAATACTATGAATATAGAATATTAAGTCGAATGAAAAGTATGTTTCACTGGAAGATTCTCTCAATGTAACTTTCGTCATTTTTGAAAAAAAATTCTGAGATCTTCGATCGAGAAAACAATTCATGTCAACAGAAAAAGAATTAGAGTTTGTCGCAAATAGCGAGTATAACTTAGTCGTTATCGCAAAAAGAAAGCCCGAATGTGTAAAAGTCCGCGTAAAAAAAGAGCAGAGTATCCGAATCCAGGAGAGAAAGACGACCTACGATAAAACTGCATCGGCACTGTCGAACAAACTACCGACGGTTACGATATCGCGGCTATTTATTTCGACGAGGTCACATTGGTCTTCTACCGAACTTTATCCTCGAAACAATTCTACGACCGAGAGTTACGAAGAGAGATCCGTATTTCCGCCTCCAGTTTCACTTCCTGATAAAAGCGTCGGTCGAAAAATTCAAGAGATACGGGAAGCTGAGTAATTTATATCGCCTTCTCGAATAGCGTGGAAAAGCCCGATAAACTTGGATTTTCTCGAAGAGGAGAAACACCCCGGAGCTCGGATTTAGGTATCATTTTATAACCAAAGCAATCGATACGATATCATTTCATTCTGTATAATATTTTTAAAGGTTTCAACTGCATTTTTCAATTATATATATACATATAGGTATATTTTTTTCTCATTAAATTAATTTAAATACGTGATATTTATATTCGTATACTTAAAACTAAAAATATCAACGCTAAAAATTAAACTGAAAAATGGAACAATCGCGCGTGTACAGGCTCTCTCTCAGGCCAGCCAACCCGTTCTGTTTCTTTTTCTTTCAGAAGAAAGATATCGCGCCGAGAAAGGAGGTAGAGAGTACGTGGCCGACCACATAGTACATACAAAATCCGGCTCCGAGCCGGGATAAGATAATAAATATGCAAAAAGGAGGAGTTTCGATGCCGTAAATAAAAACGGCGGACTTGCGTGCTGCGCGAGAGACTGCGGTGAGAGAGGATCGCGCGATCCGAAATAAAAGGACGGCAGGGTGGCGCAACAAAGGGTGGAGGAATGCGAAAAGAAGGAGGGAAAGAGAAGAGGGAGAGGGGGAGGGAGGGGAAGAGAGAGAAAGAGAGGATACAGAGATGTGAAGCATTTTCCACCTCTGTTCACAGAAAGTCAAACGCGTGCTGTAATCTCTTGATTTAGTTCGACTTATTGTTAGCCACGACGAATGCGCTTAGTCGGCACTTTGTCGATTGGCTGTTCCGAGGCGAGGCGACAGGTCTAGAGATGCGCACGAGACGAGACAAGACGAGATTTCTGCGATCTCGATCTCAATCTCGAAAAATCTTGAAATATTTATATTGATCTCGGATTTTCAAGAATCTCGAATATATGATCTTGATCTTGATCTCGAATCTCGACGAGATCTTGACGAGATTGACGAATACGAAAAATAGTTCAAAAAATACAAAAATAGTTTTATTTATAAGTATAAATAAACGTATACGTTAAAATT